GAAAACTACCGGCAGGCAGTTCTCGATGTCACTGTCTTGCCTGGTTCCAGTACTCCAGATTTTTTTCTGAACAACTGAAAATATCCTGGGGAGTCATAATCTGTTCCTCATGCAGCAAGTCGCTTCAGAGAAGCGATTTGCAGCAAGATCATCTTCGAATGTGTTAATTTTGCCTTCTCCTAGATCCTCTTATGCAGCTTTCCTCGATGTTATACTTACGACCAATTGCACGGATACCCAAATCCTTCGCTTCCTGAATCACTTCGGGTTTTTCTCTGCTGCTGTTTAATTTCGCCGTGCATTTCCAATTTTTTTTTTTACACGAATTGGGACCTCAAAAGCGGGGGTGCGTCTTATACACGATGGCGCACTACACTCAAGTATCAATATATACGGTAACTTGTGTGGTTTCAGGTGGGGAAGAGGGGGTTTAGGACTTTTTTTTTTACACGAATTGGGACCTCAAAAGCGGGGGTGCGTCTTATACACGATGGCGCACTACACTCAAGTATCAATATATACGGTAACTTGTGTGGTTTCAGGTGGGGAAGAGGGGGTTTAGGACTTCATGGGTTCAATGGAAGAGGAGAGCTTTGGAAGTTTGGGGAGAGCATGTTCATCAGTTGGAGTAGGAACGGGTTAGCTGGAGGCTGGAGGAGGTGAGAGAGGAAGCAGGGGCTCGAGCATGGGGAACAAGAATGGTTGAAGGCGCGGACGGCCTAGATCAGGGGTGTCAAATTGGCGGTCCGCGAAGTCCTCGTCGGCAGTCGGCTGCGGGAAAAGTGCTGCAAATTTCAGCCTGTCTGCATAAAAGATTAGGTGTTAGACTTTTATTGTGGCCCCTAATCACCCCTGAAGGCTTCCATCCGGCCCCCAGCCCTCCCTGGCGTAGATCTTTCAGCCACGACGGCTGAAACCAGTTGCGTTGGTTAGAGTCGGGAAATTTCTTGATTAGAAGCCCCATACGGTTAACTCTGCTGGGGCAGACACGTGAGTCTGTCCCAGCAGAGTGGTTGCTCCTACAAGTTACACCTTTTTTCTTTTATACCCGTCATGGTTTTCGGCGCATATAACACAGCCGATGTTTTTGCTGCAGTTAGCCTTGGTGTGACCACATTGCACCGTAGGCACTGGAGCATCCACGACCTAATACATTTTAGACTCACCGCGCAGTTTATATTGCCTCTCGCTTGCAGTCGCTACTGAGTGTCTTAGATGCACACGAACGCAAGGACCTGGCCTACGCCAGAAACATGGCAGTGTGCTCCAGGCACACCAGATGAGGGCATTGCGCGTCGCGGAGTCTAAACAGAACTCGGTGTGCAGTAGTGGTGTGTGTGTGTAACGTATAATACCTAGAAAATGGGGTAACTCATTCTTTGGGAGTGATGCACATAAAAAGTAATGAGCAGAAGAAAAGCATGTATGCTGGTGATGCCTGTAATATATTATATATCTTACCTGTGGCAAACATGGGCATGGGGGCAAAGGGACACGCGCCCCTCCAACAATGTTATTGGTAGGGGGGAATGTCCCCAGAGAATGACCAAAGTACAATAAAAGTAAGGCACATAGGAAAATCATAGTGTTCATATCTTTAATGAACTGCTTTTTTTCCCATCCGTTTCGAGTTTCAACTTAAAGATCCCCATCACCACGTAAGGGTATGGAATGGGGGGCCGATGGCCCGTCCACCTTGTCGTTAGTGTCGGTATCAGTTTCTTTCGGCATATAAAGCGGTGAATACTATGACAGCCAGGAAACATGGATAAGGAATTCGTATGAAACAAAATTCAATAAAAGGAAATAAGGCAGAACTAGGAAATAAAGAACAAAACACAGAAGCGAAAACAAGGAAGAGGCGAGAGAAACAAAAAATTTAGGGTTATGCTTCCGGAGGGAGAGAGCATAATGGATCGGGAAAAATTAAGAATAAATAAATAAATAACAAAAGGGACACTAGTGAATTAGGAACAAATCAAATACGTAGTAGAGTGTGTCGGGAGTGAGTTAGGTCAGGAAGGATTGTTGGAGGAAATGCTCTTTTAAGGTTTTTTTTTTCAATATTTGGGGGCTGTTTCAACGAATGAATTTTGTCTGGGAGTTCGAGGTTTCTGTTGTTGGTTAAATGGCCCAGAACCGAGTGGTCAGGTTCCGAGGAATGGAGATTATTAATGCCGTGAGTTAATGAAAGATGTTTAAGACGGTTTTGGATGGACATGAGATTTAATGTTTGCAGACGATTGGGAGACAGCTCTTTCACTCACTTTCGGGATCTTTCTAGTGGCTTTCCTTCGAATTCTTTCGATTTTAGAGTTGTAAGTCTCAATGAGAACCAAACTGGAGCACAGTAATCAATGTGGGGCCGAATAATTGAGCAGTAGAGGTTTGCAATCTTTAGCTATATCGCATATGATTCCCAATAGTTTTGCACACTTATGGATCAGTTTTCCTACATGTAAGTTCCATGATAGAGTGCTGGAGGTAGTATTGCATAGTTGCTTATGGGAGTCATAAATAGCAAGGAACCTTGATTTAATTGCATAGTGTGGTGGAAGATCTTTTATTGAGTTTCTAATACAGGGTGGTCTAGGTAAAGTGTAACGAACAAAACTGCAATTATCTTAAAAACAGCATGTTTTATTGATTTGAAATTTGTACAGCATGTTCCTGACCTAATGTACCAGACACGACGTAAGTTTCACTCAAAGTGGTCACTTTTGGCCTTAATTATGGCCTTCAACCACTTCTCGAAGTTGTTGACACTGTTCCTCACAAGTTTCTTTTGAATTTCGCCCCAAACACGAACCAAGTCTTGTCTGAGATGATCCGGACTGTGGTGAGACGCAGAACATGCCTTAGATTTGAAGATCAGCCACATGGCGTAGTCAAGAGGGTTCAGATCTGCAGACGACGGGACCACTCCTCCTCGGTCAAGAACCCTGGCAAATTCTTAGGACACCGGTCACGGGTCGCATCGGCCGTATGAGACCTTGTTCCGTCCTGCTGGAAAGTCCAAGGCTCAACCCCGTAACAGATCTTGAGCCCATGAGGGGCAGGGCATCCTGCAGGATGGATTTTATGTAAACATCGTTGTTGATTTTGATGCCCTCGAGAACGAAACGAGGGGGGACTTGTCCTTGTTGGTGATGGCGGCCCACACCATAACTGAGGCCGGCTTCTGGGTGTGGAACACCATTCCAGCATGGTCGGGGATCTCCTCTGGACTTCGTACCAAAACCCGATCATTTTGCCTGTTGTGGTCTACCTGCACCGAGAATAACTTCGAATTTTCGATCCCTATGTCCCCTCTGGGCAACCCCGATGGGGTTGCCCAGAGGGGACAGGGATAGAGAGATGTGGGAGGAAGGGGCTTCATCATCCCAGGGGGTGATTTGTCCTCCATTTCTGAAAGTTTTGGGGTTATTAGCTTCAGCTTTGAGGAGATGTGGTGTGGTGGGAAGAGGGCAGTTGGTGAATGTTGGCCTTGATTTGGGTGGGGCTTAGGTTTATTAGGAGCACTTTGGTACGGATTTGGTGAAGGTTTTGAGGTTTCCATTTCTAGGGATCGACAGAGGTTTTTACATGGTGCCCTCTCTCCAGTCCTATTAACACATTCACTGCCAATCACCGCATATGCCGTTTTCACGTCTCCCTTCGCTAAGCCTATGACCGGAAAAGTCATAGCCTAAAGCGCGAAGCTTTCGAGGCTAAGGTAGCCGAGGCTTAGGCCCGAATGGCCGAAATGAGCATGGCAGTGAATGTGTTAAGGTGCTGGCCGTGTCGTGTGAAATGTGCCCTCAAGAGGTTCTTGTGACACTGCATCAGAGATATTCAGGGATTTTAGGGGTTCATTTAATTGGTTGATCCTTGCATGGAGATGGTGAACACCATATCTAGAGAGGCTATTAGATACGATACAATGGCAGTTTGTGTTGATGGTCTTGATCCTACTGATGAGAAGGTCGATGTGGGATAAGACGATGCTAGGTGGGGAGGTCATTTGAGCCACAGATGAGTATGATTGTATTGGCTTTATCGATGGATGGTTGCAATGAAGGAATGCGATCTGAGAGAGTATACTCTGGCAACGCTGCCAAAGCTAAGCTTTGGAATTGGAAAGTAATTCTGCTGGTGTTACTGGCAGTTGGTCCCTGTTAGAATTAATGCATGGAGGTAAAGTTGATATGATTTGGCATAGGTCTCGAGCATGGGAGTCACCTATTAGAATTTCAGTTTCTCTGGGATTTCTATGCAGTTTACTCCTAGGGGCAGATAGATAAGAAGGGGAGGAAACCCGAGTGTTGTTGACCATTTCTGCCGAGTCCAATGTTACAGAATTTGGGTCTCGGTCACGGGTTGACGCACTGCAGGTTCCCATAGCGATTTTTTACAAGGAGGTTCTGGTGACCCGTGTGATGTGGTTAGGGGTTTACTGGTTTTTCTCTTTGGAAGCTGTTGAGAAGTTTTGGGCAAGGATTTCATTGTCCTCGGATATGACTGAGGCATAAATGCTTGGTGGTGATAGTTGTAGCTGCTTGGTGCGGGTAGTTCATGTTGCTCTTTGAATTTGCCGAGGCTGGAGCTGAAGTACTCTACTTTCTTTGATAAGCTCACAATTTTTCCTTTCAGCATCAGAGAGAATGCTTAGAAAGTTGTTCGTGATGGTAAGGGGGGAGCCTAGAGGTGTACCTGGTTTATCTTTAAGGTGGGTTTTTTAGAATTTCTTTTGAGCAGGTAGTACGGGACCAATTCTTGATACAATTGTCATTGAAGTGATTGATGCCAAATCACATTTGAGGTGGCAGACGTAGCTACAGTCTCCACAGATTATTCCATAATTTTCACCCTCTACTTGGAGGTTGCAGAGGGGGCATTCAATGTGGCGGAATAGTATGGGCGTCACGTCTGCGCAACCAGCTTATATCGCCATTTTTTCTCCAAGACCCTCCCGGTTGTTTGCACTTCTCGTTTCTCCCAAAAAGTTATGGGGTTGTTAACTACGTCTCACCTTTTTCTGCTTCTGACGCAACGATGAACGGATGCACCTGGATATGGGAAATTTGAGAGAGGTACCGAGAGCAATAATAGCCTTGTATGGAATATTTCGAATCAGGAACTTCCACATCAGAAATCGATTATGCCGAAATTTATTGGCTAAAGCATTCTTTCAAATTATTGCAAGGAAAATATTGGCTTTACTGTTACTGCCATGGGAGACTTCAAATATTGAGCAACATAGATAACCTTGAAGTTTCTTTTGTATTCAAGAGAAGGAGGAATAGGGCTTTTTGCCATCATGCAAGAAAATAGATTTTCTAAGCAGTCCTGGGTTAGTCTTAAAGTCAAAAGGAACACCTGTTCTCTTTCTTCAAGATACATTTCCTGCAGATGTAGTATAGTAGTTGTGGACATGATAGCACTTTCGACTGGCTTCCATGTCGTACCCATGGACAAGGATGAAAATGTGCGCACAACAGATTTGAGAAATCTGATGACCTCCTCATATTGGTCATTAGAAAACAGACTCAAGTCTTGGTTTGGATGGCGAGAGGTCATGAGATCAAACCACTTCCGTACAAAGCCAAGGAACCAGGCCACTGTCAAGTCACTCTCATCCCAGCCTTCCTTCTCCACCATATATCTGAAGCCAGACTCTCACCCTTTGGAGAATAGGGCAGCTGCAATCCCCACTTTCATCTTGTCGAACTTACCAGGATTTAAAACCTTTTCATTCAGTTGGGGAGCAATCTTTAAATCACTGGGTTTTTTTTTTTAGCATCACACAACCTTTTCAAGGGGTGAACAGATACAACACTTGAGGACAGATTATTTTATTCCACTGTCTCATCCAGAAGTAGTTCTTAACCTGAAATGAGAAAGTTCCTCAGACACTTCAAAGCATGTGGGGGATCAGAAATGAAGAAGATGGACTTCGATGAATTCCTTGGGTGAGGAATGGAACATTTAGGCCTTGAATGCTTTCCAGCTACAATGCCAAAGCTTCTCCACATTGCCCGATTGGCTGATCCCATGTCGCAGGTTATGGCCATGACATTCAAAGTCAAATCTGTTGCACGTGCAATAATGCCTAGGACAATGGGCCTGAATGATGAGCCATCAACTGAATCAACAGTGAAGAAGAATGCAACAGTCTGTTTCCATCTTGTAGATAAGCCACTAAGCATAAACACAAGGGCATTGGAGGCCTTTCCTGTATGCCCTGGGAGAGTTACATTCTCAACAAATGAATCCGTTGAGCGATCAAAATCTACATGAAGTGACCTTCATCTCATCAAGAGTCAAACAACAGTCACGTTCCTGTGGTGACATGCCAGACACCTTTGCTCCCAGCAGCTCAAAAACTTCCTCCAAAATACCCCCTTCAAACTTCACAGCTTCCAAACGTCTTCGAAGAGTTCTTGCAGAAGGGAATTTGAAACCTTGAGATTGGAGGGTGTCATAGCCCCTACTACCACATGTGAAGCGGAGTTGAAGTGCTTGCTTGATGGTCATCGCACTCCACTCACATCCCCTTGATGTCTTCTTTCTCAAGTTTCCTTGCAGTTGATTCTTTTCTTCCTGCTTCTGCTTCAGTTTTCTCCTGACTTTTCTCAGCTGGATCTTCAATGAAACACACTTTCTCCTGAAAAGAACCTCTGAACTCAGGCCCGACGTGTCCTATAATTAGGAAGAAAAAAAAATATGTATAAGCATGATTATCACTTCCATCAAACTAGACAGAAAAATCATTGGGAAAAAATTTTTTTTCTAATGAATTGGGTATAGGAATGGAAAGGTAATTAGAATTTCAACTACTTTACAATGGCCAGGAACTGCAGACTGGCTGCTGCAGTCCCATGTTTGTAACTGGAGGCCATGCTCAATGACCACCTCCAATGATTCTGGAAGGACCTCTGATTCATTATCATTGCTGGAAAGGGCTGGAACTAACTCTCCATACGGTTTTGCATAAGAATGATCCAGGAGAGCTCTTTTTGCCTTAACAGAGAACCAGGAAAATGAAGAGCCATCAGATAATCATCATGTACACATAAAACAGAATACTATTTCATGCAAACACAAAAGAAAATGTTTTGCCATTAAGAATGTATGAAATAAATATAGGAACTCTTTTCAGTTAAGAATTAGTTAATTTGCAGTCTTTTAAAGCCTAGTGGTTACTCACTAGGATTTGGTGGCCATCCATATCCTGAAGCCGTCTCTTGCGAGGGGGATGAAGCAGAGGTTTTGAGCGAACATGGTTGAAGAGAGAAGGCAGGGTAATGGTTAATCGCGTTCCCACCCGAGAAAGCTCGTACCCCCTAAAGAAGGCGCGTACCCCCTAAAACAGGCTCGTACCCCCTAAAGAAGGCTCGTACCCCCTAAAGCAAGCGCGTACCCCCTAAAGAAGGCTCGTACCCCCTAAAGCAAGCGCGTACCCCCTAAAGCAAGCGCGTACCCCCTAAAGAAGGCTCGTACCCCCTGAAGCAAGCGCGTACCCCCTGACTAACGCGGAAAGAGACTCACTTCCAATATTCACTGTCTCCTCCCAGGCGGCCATCCTCTTCCTCGCACGGATGTTGCATATGCGTTCTCTAATGTCCTTCACATCTATCACTTCTTCCCCCCCCCCTTTCCTCTCTCCCTCTCCCTCTCGTGTCCCACCATGGTCATGTATATAACGGATGGACGAAATGCATGAGTGTGAACATTTTCACTCCAAATAGAGAATGCAATATTTCATTCCAAATAGATGCGTTGCAAATGCAAAACACATACAGCATGAAAATAAAAATTAACAATTAAGATATCAATAGGGAACAATAAGGGCACACATCTACGTAGGATAGAATTTCTTAATCACATTGAGGAGCCCCTCGAAACGGTCCATTCCTTCCATACGGCACCGATGCCGAAACCAAAACTTGGCCAGGTGAGTCGATAACAGACTGGTGTCTTCCCCCTCCGGTTTTGTTGAATTAGCCTGCGAACTTCCACCCAACAGCGCTCGATGTTTTGGGTGTGAATGGTGCTCAACCATTTACGGGGTTCACGGAGTTCTCCCCGTGATTCATCTACTGGTGTGGATATCCTGTGATATAAAATATTGGAGATGAAAAATTCGCTGATGATTAAGCATACAGTTTTTTATTTTTTTAATCCTCACCAATTGTCGGGAGAGCACCATATGCTGCCCAACCATTAGTCAAAATCTGTGTTCCAGGAACAACATTCCTGGAAATGATAGGGAAAAGTGTTTCTCGGTCCCTCTTTTCCACCACGAAGCATCGCACCTCGATGGTCTTCATGTGGGGATCGCAGTTTTCCTCGTTGTTGCGATCACGGTTGTCCCTCCTGGCTGTCAGGGCAAGGCCCAAAACCCACGGGCCATCGATGGTGTGTCCATGATTCCTCCCAGGCTCCACATCAATGTCCCCCAGAAGAAGCCTCCCCCGGTTGTACTTTCTCTTGCCCCTCAGGAGACATTCGTCCATTTGCACCACGGTGTCCGGTCCTCCCATGGGTGGAGAGGAATCAATCTCATTGAGCAAAATTTCCCTAATGTAGTTACGCCAATCCACCACAGTAGGCTTCGACATTTGGCATTGACGGACCAAATCATCATAACTATAACAAAAAGAAGGAATGTATGCATTCAAAATTTTTTTGCAAAGCTATATCCTTTGCAATGCAAGAACCTAATAAATTCGCGCTCACCATGCATTTTCTTCGCTCCAAAGAAACAGTAGATGCAGCACCTTCCCTGGGCTCATACGGCGCTGAGTCCGCCCATTCTGGTCCTCATGGACGAAAAATGAACCTTTCAGGGCAGAATGCTCATTCTTGCAACCGTCGCATCTAGTTAGGAAGGCGGTCATCGTGGTTTCTCTTCCTGATTCTGTGGGAAATTTTTCAATGGTGCCGATTACGTAATGTCAGCAACATAGTCAGCTCGTAGTAATGATGTCACTGCAAAATACCCAGCAAACAAGGCTACGTTGGACCAACGTTCATTCAATGTTGATTCCACGTTGAATCAATGGGGGGGGACGCGATTAACCGTTACCAGAGGGCAGTGCATTTGGACGCAGCTTCTTCCAACCATCTTCCCGGTTCTTCTCAAACTGGGATTCATCAAAATGTGCCTTCAGGAAATTTATAAAGGAAGACTATTTGAAGCATGACACTTCCAAACAGGCACGAGATCAACTCAATGCACCACATGCACATTTAAGAGTTATCGTCCCGTGAGAGGCATAACCTATCTTAGACCTCTCACGTCAGGTCACTTGACGAATATATATTCGACCCTTGCTTGCTTGCTGCCAGTTTGAAGTGCAGCCTTTTATAATAGTTTCTAACATTTACGCTAGCTTCAGCAAAAAGAGAGGTCTAAGTCCAACGTTAAGAAACCTTTCAACAATGAACCCATTTGACTTACTTCACAGAGGAAGGATCTGTCTCCAGGCTTCCATTTATCCCTCTTCGCCCTTGCTGCCAATCACGTACGACGGGCCTTGTCTTTGGGAAACACAAAGAGTCGGAATCCACTCTCTGTCCGATTGGAACAATCAACAGCAAAACAACATGGCATGCTTGCGAAAGCGTTTTCTCCTCAGCTGTGGAGAAAAAATGGCGCCCGTAATAGCCGACCAATCCTAGAGCAGGGAAGCAGGGGGTCCCAGTTGACCAGGCTCTCTCTACTACAGGGGCTGTAATGGGACCCAAGGTATATAGATACGAAGCATCAGGTAGTGACGACAGCTCAAATAGGGGCATGTTTAGTCCAAGCCCAGCCTGCCTTCCCATTCTCTCTCTCTACAGCCACGAATGTAAACATTTTTGCTTGTGGCAAAGAGGAGGAAAACTGGAAAAAAATAGGCCTATCGCCTTTCCCAGTCGGGACCTCCCCTCTTTCATCTCAAAATGCGTTTATTTTCATGAAAACATGCATTAAAGAATGGAAAATAATATTGATGTTGCCATTAAGACAAAGGGTTTCTTGAACAGCAGACTGTTTTATACAAGAATTAAATCTGACAGCAGCTAGTACAGGATAAGGTGCATGTAAATTCCTTGACAGTTTGATTTTTAAAGAAGCAATTTTTACTATACTCCAAAATATATTTGTAAGTGTGATGTGAGGGTGTCTTCAGCTGCAGGGTTTTCAGTTATCAGGGACACTAAGGGGATCCAATTTCTAATGTAATTTCACCTTCTTGGTAGAATATGAATAGGAGCATCATGCTTTCTAATGAGAAACGTAATGGATCTGCAACACTCTGATGCCTTAAGACAGCTAAATGATGCAATGCATACCTGCAGTTCCTTTCTTTCCGTTCCTGATACTACAATGAACCCTAAGGAGCCCCACACTCGGTTGTTAATGGATCGCTTTTTAGAAGCACTGATGGTAATTATCTGTTCCCTGTTCTTCCGGCATTTACAGACTTTTTGAGTACGTTTCCCCTTACTCAGTAGTTTTCGCCTTCCTCAGAAATATTCTATGGTCAATGGCATCAATACTGTATTTTTTCATCATTCAATGTGATCACAAGATCGTCTATCAGAGTAACATTGAAGAAATATTTCAAATCAAATAAAACCACAAAAGTGACAAGAAGCATCAAGCAAGAAATCATTTGGCAAATTATAAAGCTACACTACAGATACTATCCAATCAATTAACTCGTATTTAATATTTAACTGCCACAAATAAAACTAATCTTAGGAAAACTGCAATGAGCAAGACCAAGGACGTCCTAGGTCCGAACAAAAAAAGAATCTAAAAGCTAAGTGCAATCCAAAAAAAGAGAATAAATACTGGACTGCATATCAGCAAGGCCTAGGCCCGAACAAAAAGAGGATTTCAAAGCTCAATTCAATTCATGGTCTCTACGGTCAGGACCTTCCCACCTAAAATTCAATGCTTGCCGGTCACGTCTTTTTCGAATCTACGGGAAACTTGAACAAATGGGGCCCATTTCTGCTCCTGTTCGAGGAGTTAGTGACCGAACACACTGGCATCTCGATGCAAAGTAGGAGGAACGGGGACCCTCAGCATGGACTAAAGATGGCTCCATCCCAGCTTATCATTGTGCCTATGGGTCGTCCTTACCTGAGAGCTAGAGCATCTTCGATTTACCTTGATGGGAGCCGGTGGAGTGTGTTATCTGGCATGCATCTCGAGCAAGAAGAGCTTTGCCCTTAATACGGCAGATGTCGCACGGCGACCCCGTCCTTGTCTCTTTCACGCAATCCTCTGACTTGTAGATGTCATCCCGCACAATCCTTTGTCGATCGGACCGAGAGGAGCACGGCCGGCCAGCTCCTCTCATCCGATCGGCGATGGCGTCCTCGCTCCATCTCGTTAGAAGAATTTTAATTGGCGCTTCGTGCATCTTTTCCTCGTTGTTCCTTCTCGATCTTCGATCTCGTGCGTGACAATTTCAGCCATCGTTTTAAACCGAGAATCGAGAAATATTGAAACAGGAACCAGCAGGTCTTGCCGATCCGAACCCTGTTCCACGTCGAAAACTCAAGAACGAATTGCTCCGGAACGATATTGCGATATTGCCTACGGAAGGAAAGGTGAAACCACGACGACGCTGCTTTTTTTCCCCCGTTCGTCTACGGCAGTGGTCGGCAACCTACGGCCCGCGAAGAATTTTCATCCGGCCCGCCACGACCTTGGTCGGGCTGCGCTAAATTTTTCTTAAATGAATCCATGAAACCTGGACAAATCTCTTCCTCACAGTAGCCTCGTTTATCTTTGGAAAGGAGAGAATATCGTTTCAGTGTTCTGTGCTCTTATTGCCTGCTGATGACCTGCGATTTTCTGATAATCGAGCCATTATGAACCTTCGCCAGCGCGTGAGGTGGCGGGTTTGCAAACGCAGAGGACTTGGTTCGGACTTGAGCCTCGAGAAACGCTAATCCTTCTTGTTGTACCAGCACGCGCGCCCTCCGTACCGCCTGTCCTTTGTCCTTTGTCCTTTGTTTTATGCTGATGGAATGAGATCGCGGGACGTGCTGCACTTTTCTTGGCTTTCGGAGGCTGGTGTGTTGGTGGACGTTTTCATTTTCTGTTTTATTGTGAACCTGCCCTTCCGTCATGTCGCTGTCAAACTCAGCCAAAAAGCGAAAAGTTGGCTTCGAGTGTTGTGTCCGCTGGTCGCTGAACGCCCGATTACCTGCTTGTGCAGTTCTAAGATAAGGCAGTTTGTCTTGTCCGTAAGGAGCGTTTCGGTGTCCAAGGAATATAGCAGTAGGCGGCATTACGAAGCCCATCATTAAGTATGACTCTCCGAAAGGCCAGATCAGGACTGACAAGACAGAGGCTCTGAAAAAGGCCTTGTTTGCTCAGTGGAGTATTTTAAAGATGAGAGTGCAGGAAAGCCTGACTCCAGTTCGAGCTAGTTATCATGTCATTAAATTGTTAGCAGAGGCACTGAGTTCGCACTGAAAAACTAACATGTCGAGATGTTGGCCTCAAATTTCCAAAAATTGCCTGTATTTTACGGTTCAGAAATGCGAGAATCACACATTGTGGTAGCATCGAGTTTCACGAACAGCAATATTGTATCTGAATTCTATTATTAAAGTGTGTGTATTGCACACAAAATTCAGTTCAAATAACCACGAATGCAAAAAATCTTAATTTGGAAACCTCTGAGAGCACTTAAACGTCTCTGCACCTCTCAGCCCCACCGCGACCTGACTGCACTATGACGATCCGGCCCGATACTACCAAAAGGTTGCCGACCACTGGTCTACGGTATCGACAGTCGCAGACGGAATGAAATTCCGCACTTCAACCTGTTTTTTTTTCATATCATGTAAAGACTGCGGAGCCGTAAATCTGGAATTTTCGTGCTCGGAGCCGGATTCCACCCCCACCACCTTTTTTTTTATTTATAGCCATTGACTTTCACATTGAGAAACGATAGATCGATTTTGGTGAGAATTAATTCAGCTTCGCCATTTTCTAGCGCAAATAATTTCCCGTTCTAGTTATTTTTTTTCCGGCGGAAAAAAAAACGAATGCAGCTCTAACAATGCAATTAATCTCCCGATTACCCCTAGTCATATAATTCTTTTGAAATGTGATCTGTATAAAATGGAAGCAGCGAAGCTGAACCAGGCCATTCGCGCTTTTACAGGCTTATAGATGAAGGAATTTGTCTTCTGCCATTTCCCTTGCAAATTCTTTGCGGGGCGAGGAAGAAGCTGCTCAAACTTTTTCATTCGCAATTTCTTCCAGTGTCATCTGCTCGGACAATAATTTTGTTTGGTCCTTTAGTTTGTCCTTGAGTCGGTGAACTCAGAAAAAGCAAAATATTATCCTTTAAAATATAATTTTTTGTCTCTGAAAGTTACAAGCCCGAATATATCTTGCTAAAAAAAATGCAATAAAATTACTCCTTGGTCAGAAATGAAACCAATTCCCAACCCACGAAAGTTCATTTATTGCTGTGCTTCCCGAGCCCGGCATGGACGAAAAAATGTACCCAAGAACAAAGAACCCCTAAAAAAAAAGATTGAAACCCTATGGGGTGGGAGGAGACATGGAGTTACTGGTTATCTACAGTTTGGAATTTGTTGCATTTAATGCCTGGATAGCCGTGTCCATATTGCTTTAGGACGCAAATGAGAAGTTCGCGATATCCGATGAAAGGCTGGAGAAGAACTTTCGTTTCCTTCTCATGGAATGTGATGGACAGG